TGGATGCGTTATTCGAAGCTTCATTACCTGATGGTCATGATCTACTTGTGATCTTAACATCCATCCTCTTTTTCGTTTCTGTTTTGCGCCGGGGAATTCATTAAAAATTTCTGGATATTTGAAGAAGTTAACGTAGTCTGGGAGTGGCAGCGCTTGTAAAAAAGTGATTGTGACGCATCACGAGCATTTTGCTTAAGCCTTGCAAAGTTCTGCTGGCAGAATCATTGAGCACAGCACATGAGTCGAACAGCCTACCTTGCGGATACGCCGCCCATTAAAGCATTTGGAGAACTTGTCAGTTGCATAGTAGGAGAAGCGGCCTACAAATTACTATTATTTCAAACATTCCCGTCATAAAAGCAGTGCGGTGTTATATGCAACGAACTGCGTAATATCTTACTGCGCAGTTTTGTAATTATCTATTTGTGTCGGAAATTGTAATTACTTTTAGCATCGGTGCACTGCTTGATGAAGTAAGCGAAGATATTGCGCCGCATCTTGCTGAAATAATGACAAAAAGATGGTATGTTTTGTGATTATATGGTCTTTATGTGTGAAGTTACTGTGGAAATCAAAAACAGTCAAAGAAAAATGTTCAAATTATGGTCGGAAGCAAATGCCAAAAATATGGATAATGTTAATAATCAGTAGCATATTCAGTTTCTGACTAAATGCGAATTCAGTGCTTATCGAATTGACACACTCCCTTACTTTCATGCCAAGAATACTGAGACTGCTCGAACTATCAGTGTTGGGTCCCCGTGTTAGTGATGTTACGAGAATGCTCCTACACGTCGAGCCCACTTATGCCAGGCACTTTTTTTATAAATATAACAGTTTTTGAATTTTACGCCTGGCCTTTCGTTCTGGAAACCATCCATTTGCTTTCTAAACATTTTAACATTTCTAATTTTACTACACTGAAGGGAAGCATAGGCGTGCGCTAAGCGGTTGCTTTACGAAATGAAGGTCATGCAAAAATGCATGATCGCACCGGCAAGCCTTATGCGTTGTAGCCTGCGTTTATTTTTACAATAATCTATCACCTGACAGGTTTACGGGCTCAGCAGCCGTGGAGACGATATGTATGACGATAGCCGATTACTACAACGATCACAAACATCTGCGGCCGCATATTCGCTGTGCCTTGCTAATGGAGATTCAGTATAAAATTGTTGGTGAATATCTTATCGGAATTGATAGTAGGTTAGTAGCAGTGAGTTTTTGTTCCAAAAATTGTTCACTTTTATACAGTAACTTTTGACAAAGGTGTGAAATTCTTGCATCATGTTTTTCAAATGCATTGGATGCCGCCTTAAAGTAAAATTTTTGTAATGTAATATAAAATTATGGGATGGAATAGGATGATGAGG